TTCCTTCCTTCCTTCCTTCCTTCCTTCCTCCCTCCCTCCCTCCCTCCCTCCCTCTCAGCACCCTCTCGTGCACCTCCTTACTCCCTCCCCCACCCAGGAGCAGCCACTTACCTGCCTGCTGGCCTTGGACTTGCAACTTTCTGTCAGTTTCCCCACTGACTTTGCTTGTGGGAAGCTGGCAATCACGATCACGTTTAGGCTTCCTGCTGGCTTCCTCATTGACTTGTGGGAAGCTGGCAGGGAGTGCTGGGAATTACAGTCACATGACCACAACTGACCGTGGCAGCGCAGTGGCACTGAAGCAGCCACGACTTTGCCAAATTTCAATCCCACCAGAGTAATGGCTCCTGGATTTTGGATGCATTCTGAGGTACCTTGGTTCAAAAATGGTTGCCTAATGATGCATCATTTTATCAAATTGAAGGTTACAAACAGACACGAGAATTTTAGTAGTATACAGATGATTAATACACTGAAAGTTCTAACAATGTTAAAAAGAAGAAAGACAATAAAGTACAATTAATTAAAACCATAAAAAATATAACATATTATTTCAGAATAGAAAACACAATTGAAAAGTCTGTGTGTGTGTGTGTGTGTGTGAGATCCAAGCAAGATCCTTCATGTTGATGGACAAAAATGTTCAATCTGTTTCTTCTTTTGCTGTCCAGGAACTGCTGTTGAGTTCTAAGTTGGTAACCCTGGCTACAAGCAGTGATAAAATATGGCATTGTTTGAAAATGAATGCATATATTTATGTTCAACTTTTGCTGTTCGCTGAATTCTTCATGCTTTTGATTCATTTCATAATTTTTAAAACCAAGCAGCTAGCTGTCGTCTTCTCACCCAGCCCAGTTAATGAATATGCTGCAAACAGCAGTTAGGTCGTTGGTATTTGAAAAATGTAGAGAAAGGGATGTGGGTCAGAAGTGCATGGAAATCCAGATAGAGGCCTTGGTTTGAAACTGTTCCATTCTGCTCAGACCCTTTTCTCTACAAAGGAGAAAGCACAGAGTAGGGCACACCGTTCAGTGAGTAGTTCTGCAAATAATCTCTCCTTAGGCACATTGTATATTTAGTGCAATGGAAGAAATACTGCCCAATTTGTATTCAGAGAACACAAAACCTCCAAATGTTAGAGATATCAGTTTGCTGCTAATAACCTACAGACATAATGCAATAAAACCTGGCTGAGAAAGGTGTTCAGTGAACAGAGATTTCAAAGGTCTCAAGTAAAGGAAGTGTGCAAACACTAGTCCACGTATCTCCCTATGAAGATTAAGGTTTCACATATGTTAAACAAAGTTTCCTTGTTCCTTACTTCTAAACCAATAAAGGATACAGCTAATCTGTCATCGTCTTTACAGAGCCAGCAACAAGGTTGAAGTGACTGGATATATGTGTTGAGAAGTCAATGTCTGCTTGACATCACTGGCCAAGATATAGCCATTCTACTTGTACTTTTGTGCTCAATTTGGAAATGCTTCCATTAACTTCAGTTGGATGTATAGAAGGAGCAAGTCAGAAAGGCAAGGACTTAAGAGCATGTTAAAGAGAGCAGGTTTGCTTGCTCTTAGGGCTGTGCAAATCCTTAGAAAGTAGCACATTACAAGGTGTTGGAGTGCATAGAAAGCATCTCTCTTCAAATTATTAGAGCAGCCGCATCTTTTTCCAGACTCACATTGCTGCTCTGTAAGCTGCTCTCATTGTCTCCTGATGTGCAGGTATGCACAGTCACTCTGCTTTGCTGGGAAAAAGTGTTTAAGTGAAGTGGCTGTGTGTGTACATGCATGAGGAGATAACTGGGAACAACTTCATGCCAGCCTGAAAAGATGTGGCTGCTTTAATATTGTGAAAAAAGGCACTTTATACAGGATTCCGCATACATACTGAGAAGCCCCTTTTTCAGGCTTTGCACTGCCCTGCTAGCCAGCGGTAAGGGAATAGAATAATACAGTACATCCAAATTATCCCTCGATTGTTGGAACTCGTCATACCACTCACCCTCTGTTCCCTTTCTGTGAAGGCTGACTTTCTCTCTACCTGGAGAGTTAAAAGCTTATCCTAGTGGCAGGCAACCTGTGACTGAGAAGTTGCGTGCACTCCTCCCAGCACCTATTTTCTTGTTCTTGGAGCACCCCCATCCCACCCACTGAAAACTGGCAGCAATACTATATGTGACACTGACATTTTGTCTGATTTTTAATCCTTTGAAGGTTAAACCAACCCAAGGCTTGATGCATCTATTTGAATCCTTTAATCCCATCAAAACCTGAAAAAACAGACTAAGCATTACCTCCATTCATCCCTGGTGATGTCACCATCTCAATGGGCATTTTCTCTGCAGCCTTCAAGAGCCAACTTGGTGGTGGTGGTGGTGTTCACTGAAGTCCACTAGAAAAAAGAAAAAGCTGTCCATCTTTGGCTTACTTCTCTTAATGAACTGAGAAGATTCCCAGATTCAGTTATCCCAGAAGTGCTTTCAATTTACTGGACAAGAACCATCTCCCATGGTGGCTGTGTTCCACAAGATGCTTAACTGGGTCAGGCAAAGACCCAGTCCAAGCAAACCTTTAGTTTCTTGTAACTTGACATGTCATGTAAGCCTGTTTGGTTAGTGCATGATTCATTGTATGTGTATGAATCCAAAACATGCATCTATCCAGGTTACAATTGTAAAGCTCTGGACAACCCAAGATATGTGGCTGCCTCAGACAAAGAGTAAGAGGGCTTCTTTCTTCTGGCATATACAGATTGCCCTGGACTGACAGGGAAATCTTTGCTACAGCTGATGTCCCTCTACAAGACCTGAGGGGTTCAGAGAAAGCTGTGGAGAGTGAGCTCCAGCAGACAAACCAGGAAAATCAAGCAGGAACACCCAGGAAGTTGCCACAGCTATCTCCTTCCTCAGCATCTCCTACCAGAAGTGATTGCCTCCTACCGTCAACTGTGAGCACACCCAATTCAAATTCCTGGAGGAGGAGATGGGGAACTTCAGATCACTGCATCAACTATGAGCTGCTAACATTCCCTTTTATGGGTCCCTAACCCCCTAAAAGCCTTGCCTGATATGCAGGCATTACAAGGGCAGGCTGCAATTCAAGGTGCTAGTGGTCACCTTTAAAGCATTTAATAACTGTGGGACTGCCTTCTCCCAATCTGCCCATCGTTTGGAATCTGGAAGACTCCCTCCAGGTCCCATTCTTAGGGAATGCCATCTGCAGGGATGCTGGGGTCGAGCTTTCTTAGTCATTGCTCCCCTTCTCTGGAATAGCACTCCCTAATATCAGATAGGTCCCAACTCAGCTATATGTCACGGTGGCTCCTCATCTTATGGAATATCACTGATTACATTGTCATTTTATTATCCTCATAGTGCTATATTTCAGTTTTAATCTTATTACCATTTTGGGAGGTCTCTAAGTTGCCCAGGGTCAGGCATGATTGGAATGGCAAATAAAGAATAGAATAGAATAGAATAGAATAGAATAGAATAGAATAGAATAGAATAGAATAGAATAGAATAGAATAGAATAGAATAGAATAGAATAGAATAGAATAGAATAGAATTAAATTAAATTAAATACACTTACAAAATCCAAAATAAAACAAAAGCTTTTTCTACAATTAGCAGTTGATTACACTAAGATTTTAAAAGAGCCTCCACTGACATCCTGGGTACTGGGCAGAGTGCTTTTGTAACTTCTGGAGCATGAAGGTCCCATAGGTTTGCTGGATTTACTTATCATACTAAGCCACAGTCTGATTAGCCATGGCTTGTCAAACATGTCAGATAAACCACAACTTTGCTGGATTCACAAAACATGCTATGCCAAGACCCACAAACCTCATTATGGCATAGAGTGATGTGTGAACTCAAACACAGCCTTGATTTAAAAAACAAAAGAAAACGAAATTGACTCTGAAGCAGGAGCTGGATTGAAACCCTGATTTCTTCCCACTGTCAGTTCCTGAAGATGATCTATTGACCGAGCCCCAGATGTGTGGGGTGAGAAGACACAAATGAAGCAAGGATAGGATCCAACACAAGCTAGTCAGTAAAGGAGAAACTAACTCCAATCAGGGATCAGAAGGGACAACTCAAGAGTCAGGAATCCATTCTGAAAAGAAGCCCACTACTGCTGCTGCTGCTCTTTCTAGGGTGTGGAGGTGCCGTGGGGCTCCTGCTGAAACCTCCCAAAGGCTCCTTCCTGTGCCCCACCTGCATGCAGGCGCAGAAACCTGTAAAGAAGAGGGTGATGATGCCACCTCCCTCTGTGGCTTTCCAAGCCCACTGGCTCCCACAGCCCCCTTGCCTCCGCCTAGTGATCTTCAAGCCCTTACTCAGGTTATTCTTTTCTACTAAGGAAGCAGAGGAGGCAGGAGACTCCTGGCTTCCTCCCCTTGTTTCCACTGACAGGTGGCAGGCTGCCTTCCAAATGGCCCTGCAGGACCACAGTAAGTGCTGCTTCCAGCTCCTGTACGGAGGAACAAGTGAAGCATTAGAATGATGGATGGAGCCATCTGGCAGGTGGCCGGGAGGCCTGGGCACTGACACCTCCACAGCTGTGGGCAGATGGTACCATTGCTTTCAGCCAGATTGTATCTGCCTTTGCAGACACTGTTCACCAAGGACCCTTTCCAGTAGCAAAACAGCTGAGTTGCAAAATGGTTAACAGCCCCCGTGTTTCCATCCTTGCTTTGAATCACAACTCAGCATCTCATCTGTCAGCACCAAGCTGTGGTTGCTCTCAAAGAAACGCCAGCTGTGATGGCTCTCCTCTCTGGTTGGGGCAGCCCTGGGCTAGTGTGCCAGTTTCCTCAGCAAAAGGGAGCTGCTGACCCAGGCTGGCAAAAGTGTGCTGACCTAGGCATCCCTGCTATTGTAGGGCTGGGAAATCCAATAGGTTAAGGAACACTGGCCTAGCATCAAAGTTCAGTGTCAAAAGCATAGCCCAGTTGCACAAAGATCTAACAAGATGGCAACACAGGTTGGGTTTAGGAAGAGAGCAGGGGATGGAGCTGAAACGGTGGATCAGGACAAAAGCAAAGGTGGAGAAGAGCTAATACTTGGGATGAAGCTGGGTTGTCAGAGTTACATGTCGAAAAGGGAGGGAGGGAGGGAGGAAAAAGGAAGGAGAGGAGGGGAAGAGAGGAGAGGAGAGGAGAGGGGAGGATTAAGACTTGCACAACCTGTAGGACAGAATTGGATGGGGGAGTTTCTGTGGATGCAGCCACAGGCCAAGAATAAGTGATGTCAGGACTGATCCAGAGCAGATCTTGGGTGAGAGATAAACAGAGATAGAGGAGTACAAGTTCTGGCTGGTTGTCCTTAAGCTTTTGCTGACAAGATACATGGCACATTTCCCAGGCTCTGCAGACCGATTTATGCCACGTCTGTATGTAAGCAATACAACCAAATCCTCTTTCCTGTCAGCTTTATGGTGAGTTATTCAATACTGCCAAATGACCACGCTGGCCACTACAGCATCAACTGCTGGAGGCCAAATATGACTATGTCTGCAGGCTGCGGGTGGCACAATGGATGTACCAGGAAAGAATTAAAGCTCCTCATAAGCCTGTGTTTTAACCTCGGCCTTGGAACCTCCTACAAAACAAGGGAGCAGATGGTTGGCTTCCGCAAGCTACACACCCACCCAATACACAAAGTCCTCTCTCCACCCATCTGCTGGGACCATCGGGAGTTGGGAATTCAGCATCTGTTCCCCAGGGAGGTGTGAAAGTGACAGCAGCAATCACAATCACGCAGACAGTGAGGGAGGGAGGACAAGCCAGACGTTGAAATGACTCAATTATCACCAAAAAAAAAAAAAAAAATCCTCAAGCAAAAGGCAGACACACACACCCCAGCCAAATGATGACAACCATTGTGCCTCACTAACATGCTGCATTTAAGAACATTTCTCACTCAGAAACCCAATTTCTTCCTTATTTCCCCAACAGCCCTACAATCAATTTTTTTTTACAGCAGAAGCAACAACAGATGCCAGGAAGCACACTCTGGCTACCTTGTTCTTATCCAATTACGCACATGGGTACCCATACCATCATTTACAGAATTACTAGTCAAGATTAATTTTGAGCATTTAACTTATAAATCAACAATCTAAATTATCATTAGGATATTACAAACTGAGATAATGATGTCATGCTTTGCATGTGGCTGTATCAGAGAAAAAAAATCCCAAAATGTTTCTCCACTATCAGACCATGGTTTCCACACCATTAGTACTACTTAGCTTCTCTTCATTTCAGCTAAGTATGAATTTTTTTTCTTTCTTCCTAGTGCTTTCCTGCAGGTGCAGGGTCCACTTTTTTGGATCAACCAAATGTTGATCTGTTGGTTGTGACAGGAATTGACTGACTGGCTTGTCACCCAAGCCTGACATCTTGGGCTGAGAGTGAGTGACTGGCCCAAAGTCACCCAACTGGCTTTCATGCCTAAGGTGGGACTAGATCTCAGTCTCCTGGTTTCTAGCCCAGAGCTTTAACCAGTAGATCAAACTGGATCTCCAGCTGAGTATGAATCTTCCTTATATATTCCACAGGCATGATGTTCTCCTCAAATGGGGAATGTGTCTATGGAAGCAAATGCAGTTCCATTATATAGACAGGCTCTTTGGAGAGCTTGTTTGATACAGCTCCCAGCTAAAGCCCAAATAAAAGCTGAGCTTAACAGTATAATGTGTAGAAGGGAAAAACACTGGTCTGACTCTCTTTCCTTTCATTGGTCTCAGGAAAAAGATCTTGTTATTCGCATTCCAAGTATCTGCCCCTAAGCAAAGCCTCCCTAAGTGTCAATCGGGGCTTCCTCCGAAGGGCAAACAGCAGCTTCAGAATAAAGACTGGATTCTGGTGGGGGGAACAACTCCTCCTGCCCCATGGGTTCCATTCCAAGTAGTGTGCACATGTTTGGGGTGGTTTATTTTCACATAAATCATATCACTTTTCAGTTGGTCTTCCATTTATACCAAGAAACAAAGACCAGTTTCTTGTCACACTGAGGGAAACAACCTTGAGAGATGACTGAAGATCTGTACACCGAGGGATCTGTCCTTCAACAGGCTCCCACCAATGCTTTCTTGAATGCTATCACTGCACTTCAGCAAATGGGCGTCACCAGGAGCAGCAGACAAGCTACGAATCTGGGCCATGGTTTATATAAAGAGGAATTGAACCACATTCTTGATGCCCCATTAATGTTCAGAGTCTGTGTCTTCATTTATCGTGGAGAGGGGTAGGAGGATAAAACTCTTAGGGCTGCCAACAAATGCAGGGAATTTTGAAAAGCTCATTAACAGACTTGCTGGTAGCTAATTAATTAGCTTATTTGAGCAATGTTTTCAGTATCTCCAGGAAGGCAGTTTTTGGAGATTGTTTATCGACAGAAAGTGTTTCTACAGCAGGTTTCTGCACTTCTAGGTAGATGCTACAATACCTAGGGGAAGAGAAGCTGCAGCCTGCAGCCTGCTGATTTTCTAATAAGTGCCACCGAACTCAGGAGGACTTCCTTCTCAGTAAACAGGTTTGATTTCTTCACTAGCATTATCACTGGCCTGAATGAAGTCGTGCTAATCTATACACACTCCTTTCTATTGTGAAGCTGTTGCACAGTTGATGGTGCAAAACAGTAAAATGGCACTAGAGAACAGAAGCCTTGAAACAATGTACTCCATCTCTGAAATTAGAACTCTTGGAGTGTGTAACCTAGAAACAAGCTACTTATTTTTGGCACTTGTGAGTACCTGCACTCGGGGAAGAAAGACAAGAAGTGGGCTGTGGTGGCACAGATCTGAGAACTAGCAGCTGCCCAGCTCTACCACTGCATCAGCAGTCTTTCCAAAATCTTGGGACCATTCCAGGCAGAGAGGAACAACCCAGGGATAGACAGTAAGGCATCAGAACAACCTGTGCCTCTTCAGACATCCTTTTGGCTATCATGGGAAAAAGGAATGCTAAAGAGTATTTAGGGACCTGTGAATTCAGGGATCACCCCACCTCTTTTCTATCTCAATAATAGGTTTAACCAGCATCTGTTTCATGGCAGGCAAATTGAGCAAATTGTTGTGAATAATTCTCACTATTCAACCTATTAAAACCAGTAAATACTCCCCATCATCATAGATGCACATACACTGCCACAAACTGGCTTTGCCAGAAGTGTGCAGTATGCAAATATGATAAATGAAATAAATACAAAACAGCATTTCACAATCATTAAAAACAAGGTACCAGAGTCAGTGTTCAGTGTCTCCAGTCAAGATGCATGTAATGTTAGGAAATGTATTTTTTGCTTAGAAGCATCAGTCCAAGCTTATGACCATCAAGCTGACACATAACGATTTGGCCCCTTCCAGATGTGTTGACCTACAATTTCCAAAATTCCCAACCAGCACATCTGGAAGGGACCAAGTTTGGGGAGGCTGTCCTAGGTTCCAGGATTTTCACTGTACTGAATGGAAACTTCAGGATATGGAATGGAGCAGAGCAGGGAGGGACAAATCCTCCCTGAGGAATTAGCCCAAGATCCTCTGCACTGCAGGAGCCCAAGATCCTCTGTCAGCTATACAGGGAACCCTGCCCATCACCATCACTGCCTTAGATCACTACTGATCCAGGTCATTTTGCCTGCCTTTGGGTTCACCTAAAGCCCAGCCCCACTCTGTTAGGATGATGTTTCTTGCTCCAAAAGGTAATTGGCAAATCCCTGGATGAAAGCACCCTTAAAAGAGTGTCTTTTAACACCCTTAAAAAAGTGTCTTGATTGTCTTTGGTCTCTGGGTAGTGGTTGCTTTGGACAGATGGAAAGGCTATATTCCCTCCCCCAGGATGATGGTCTTGAAGTTGAAAAGCTCACCTTTGCAATTAAATCTGGGAAGGAAGGGTACAAAATAGGACAAGGTCAAACCAAGAGTAAAACAAAACAAAACAAAACAAAAAGTAAAAACGAATCTGAAAGAGACTAAGCTTTGAAGAGGGAAATTGTGCCAACCCAAGACATTTTGCTACCTGAATGGAAGGTGAATCCCCATCTCCCACCCAGGGTAAAATTCTTCCAAAGGCCTCACTGGAACGTTCATACCTCAGTGTTTGCTTTCATCTTTTTCAGCCTTCCCCAAGCTGGCACTTTCCAGACCTTGGTCTCTGAAGAGGAAAGCAAGTGATCAAACATGCGTCATGACAAAAACACCCTAATTTATGCACTGGCATTAGATGTTGGGATGCAAGTAGGTAAGGGCAGAGTATGTCATGGCAATCCATCTGTAGGGGCTGGATCTTAAATTCCACTTCTGGTTTTACCTTCCTCCACTATAAGCTCACCCATGATAGTGCTACTCACTGGAAGACTGATTTCTAAGAATAAAATGTCAGCTTCCTGGAATAACTCTGGATGAATCACAGCAGAGGTGACATGCAACTCTTCCAGAACATACATATTACCCAGATACCTTTGTTGCCAAAATGGCATCTTTGCTCCAAGATATGAAAATGTTTTGTGATCTTCCCAAGGTTGTAGCAAATCTGATTCAAACATTCTTGGGAAAGCATGTAATTTGCAGAGAACTCTGCCAGAAATAGCCAGTCCTGAGGAGCAGGAGAGACCCTGCTGTGGTTTCAACTTGCCAGGTTTCCATGGCTGTCACTTTAATGCCATTCCCAAAGAGCATTAAAAAAGAAGATTGACTGGGGGGCACATATAGCCTTCCAGCCACATACACACCTACCTCTCTGGCTGAGGAAGGGGTAGAGCAAAGTTGACTTCCAAATGTTTCCGGATGTATTCTCTGGATCTTATATCTGCCTATGATCAGGGCAGAGAAGAAAATAAGAGGAACAGATTAATTAGGTTGATTGGTGCAAGTGGCAATTTCTAGGATTCTGGGAAAATGGGGGGAAGCAGAAAGGATAGAGCTGCTGGAGTCTGACATTACCTGGAAGAAAAAAAAACAACTCACAAATCTCCGTCCTAGCCATATATAGGCCAACCACAAAGCAGCTTCTATCCCAAAGAGAAGTGAGGGTTCGGTCTCATGATACATTTTTGGACTGAGAAGAAAATGGGTCCCTTTTGTTCACCAGTTCCCAAAAGCTTGCAATTAATTTATAAGAAAAGCCATGCTGGATCAGATCAATGGCCCATCTAGCTAATATTATTTTCCAGTTGTGCTCATGGAAATGTGAGAAGCCGTCTCATTCTGAGTCAGACTATGAGTCAAACGACTGTATATATTACTTTAAAAATGCAGATAGCATTTTTGTTTTCTTCACTTAAAAGTAAGGGCATCTGGCTGGAATCAAACTACCAGCATGAAGAGGAGGGTAGCTCTAATTCTTTGACTTTAGCGTCTCCAATTTACATTGCTAAAAAGGATCCACTAAATTGCAGGCCTTCATTTAAGAGGCTGGGAACCAGGTTGGGACTGCAGCAAGAGTAGAAAGGCTAATAGCTGATAGCCTCCTATACACCCCATACTAGGATCTCAATCCAAATCAGTTCCACTGTGTTTCTTTTGAGAGAGAGAGAGAAAGCAAGAGAATGCCAAGCTCCATCTTTCAAATAATGTACATTTTATTCCATTCAAAGCAAACTGAGCAGTTTGATATGGGCTGCAAAGTGCTACCCAAATTCTTCACAGCAAAGGAGATAAATATGTTAAATGGATGCCATGCTCTCTTTTCTGGGACTGCATCCTTCAATACATTTCTTGGTAGAATTGCTGCCAAAATCTGGAACAAAACCAAATTGGGTGACAGTTTTGGCATCTGGCACAATTAAAAGTATGGTGGAACCGGGTAAGGGATGAGAGGGTTCAAGAAATGCTGTGGCTGTATGAATTTAGAACAATTCATTTCGCTGGGCCATGACAGGTCTGCACAGAACCTGTGCAGACCTGCATATTTTCCAGATGAACTAGAGTTCCCAGACTCTTGATAGATTGCTGGCAACAGGAATTAAAGTATAATGCATCTGAAGGGTGGCAGGATGGGGAAGACAAAAAGGGTGGTAGTACCTTTTCCAATTAACACATTTTATTAAAAGACACAAACTTTTGTGAGCTGCGCTCACTCCATCAACTTCACCATCACGAAATCTTATGCCTTTTAATAAAGGTCGTGGATCAGGAAAAGTGCTATCAGATTCCTTCTGATTTTTTGCCACCATAGGCTAACATGGCTCGGAAAGGGGAGGGTTATCTAGAACCACTGACCTGCTCCGTGCAATGGTCACAGCAGAGAGAGGGGCAAGGGAACAAAAGAACAAGTGCAATTCAGGATTCTCAAGCCTGCTGTAGCCTCCAAACAGGATCTAACTGAGAGCCTTCCTCCTCAAGCTGATTTCACTGGAGCAGCAGGGAGGAATACACTTGCATGGAATTGGCTTTACGTACAGAATCAGGGAGGTCCAGATGTGTTGAGATTCAATTTTGGTCACCCTTGTTCTGTCTGGTTGACTTAACTTCTGGTGTGAGCAGTCCTTTCCAGTCACACTTTCCTTTGGCTGCTTTATTCAACTCCACTATACATTATCTTCAGCTACTCTTACCTACCATTTTCACCTTCTTCATTCTGTTATTCCTGATTTATCCTTTCTCTACTTTTTGTGGGGTGGATGAACAGATAAGACAGTCTTCACATGAAGTGTTCCACAGCAGCCTTTCATAAATCACTGCACTAATATCTTCTCCTTTGATAGTCCTTTCTTTAAGTTTAAATCTCATTCACCTTTCCTTTTTCTGGTTCCTATTCTTCATTCCAGTGATATCATCACAACAAATATATGAGGTTGGTTGGGCTGAAAGAAAGCAACTATTCTATCAAATCTGGGCTGTGGAAATCTGGACAACCACTAGATTGCAGCAAAGGGAGACCCAGTCATGCATTTTTCTTTCCCAGCCCAGACCTGACAGCCCTGGACTAGCTCCAAGTCACCCAGTGAACATTCTGGTCAAGGGATTTTTTTCCTGGGTCTCCTCAATGCCAGTCCAACACTCTTAAAACTATACCATCTCTTACTTGTTGAACAAAGTTCCTTGTGTCTATGTTATGTTTTCTCAGCCAAACCTACATTTCACTTCCCTAAGAACCAGGTCAGTTTACAAATACTCGGCAGAGATTATGAGTTTCAGGCTGCCATCTCGTATACCACAAAATAGGGGATAATGGAGGGAATGGGGAGGGATGGAGGCAGGCAGGCATCCAATATTAAATACCTTTAGTGGAGGGACATTGAATCCATGAACCCTCTAGATGGCCAATGGTGATGGAAACTGCAGTCTTATAGGACCCAGAAGGCCATTCCTGTTTTAACCTATTCTATTAAATATGTTATACGAAAGGACAGACAGGAATCATTCGATATTGGTACAGAATGATTCAAGCTTCCAAGTTAGAAAGCAAGTGAATAACTCTGTAATATGAAAGCTTGCATATTTCATGAACAGGGCCAGGGCACAAAAGATCACTTTAGCTATTTTGCATGTCCACCTTTTGTTAAGGGAATGGGATTTTGAACATTTAGAAACATTCATTATGACAAATTAATTTGCCTTAGATCTGCCTAACAAAACTAATTTACATCATTTGGGTCCATACCAACAAATCCTACAAGGCAAACACTGTGTTGAATATAGATGGTTCAAGCTAATAATTATTGGCAATAATAAAAGCTGAAATCCAGTTCTTCTCCCACATAATTAAATGCCATTTACCCATTGTATTTGTTTAATAAATATTTTAGCCTACTTTTCTACTTTAAAAGCACCTACAAAACATTTTAATAACCAGAACATTAAAAATAGAATTTTAGAATTTTAAACAGGACTTCTGGGGGAGATATGGTGAACTGAAGACAGCTTTGTGAAAGTGGAGCCGACGACCGCAGCAAAGATCAAGGAACCAGTGAGCATACCGGTTCCTTGGAACCTCTCCGGATAAGGAGGGACAGGAGATTGCCCACATGTGCTCTGGACAGCTGCTCCTCACAAGGAGACTGCAGGAGAGCGGTTTTCTGCGGATTTGAGCACAAGGAGACGATGGAATCAGTCATCTTGTTCACAACCATGGCAGAGACTTTTAAAGGACACTAAGTTCCCAAACCTCACTTTCTAATCGCTTTCAGAAATTGCCTATTAACTATTCTAAAGCTATTAGAGACCTTCGTAATGACAGGTTTGAAAAGTCTTCATCAGGTGAATTTATCTTCAACTCTGAATAAAAGAAAAATTAATTACAAGCTTAAGAACTTAAATAATTTGAAATAAACAGCAAAAAGCTAGGTAAGATTTTGATCTAAGAAAGTTATAAATGGATTAAGGGTCCAGATAAATTTGGAGTATTGATATTTACTATAAGATTTTGGAATTAACTATTTAAAAAATAGACAACTTTTCATGGGAAACAGACTTATTTTGGTTACCCTGGCAACTGCAAGTCATAACAAAAGATAATAACGATTTTAGAAACTGGACACTAGAGGGGTCTAAGCAGAAAAAAAAAAATACAAAGCCTGATGTCATTTAATACTTGGACTTACAGAATGATACAAAACTTTATAACATCAGAAATATTAAAGGAGATCTTTGAAGAATGGAGCCAGAAGTTAGTAACTACAATATCAATACTGTCAGTAGTGATATCTGCTTCTATGGATATCAGAAATATTAAAGGAGATCTTTGAAGAATGGAGCCAGAAGTTAGTAACTACAATATCAATACTGTCAGTAGTGATATCTGCTTCTATGGATAGACTATGTCTAAAAGATGTTAATGAAGGAATGAAAGATGGGGAACAAATTTTATCTGGTAAGACAGAGAAAGTACAGAATGTGGAACTACAAATGAGAGGCCAAGATAATGATTTGGAAAAGGACGCTTAACTGGATATACA